CACCATCACCTCCGGCTGAACTCATCGAGTCTACATCCTACACGTTGGACTTTACAGCTAGAAAATTTATAATTGTCGGTATCGATCCAACAAAACAACTTCAAACAGTTGTTATTTTATTAACATTATGACGTTATGTGAAAATTAGTTTAGATTTTCTAAGACGAATATTCTCGCTTATGGGTAACGTACTATCTTTTACATTAGACACGCCACAAAACTACAAGCGAACCATATTTCTCGAAACCGATTCTTATAAAATATCGAGTATGGTGTATAGTGGTTCAAATGTTCTAGTAATTGAATCGAAGACTGAAGACGGGTGTAGAGTTTTATTAAATCGTACAGATTTAATAAAACTCCAGGAATTAGAATGGTGTATTAATGCTAGTATTAAAGAAAAAGAAGCGAACATAAAATCCGAAATTCATAAGCAAACTAGTAATTATTGCGAGTATTTGAGGGTAATATGCTTGCAATCGGATTCACCACCCAACAATTTGAGGGAAATGAAAATTTTCATTCGGAACGTTGAAGTCAGACGGAGTATGGACACATCTATCCTCAGTCAAATTAAAATGTTTGCGACTACACAATTGGCCGAACTTTGTATGGCTCATCGGGAAGTACAAAACTCAGAAGTGGTAACGTAAAAATATATAATTTCATATATAAAATATTAAATTACACTTATTTTTATTTTAGGTATATGATAAGAATTTCAAATCGCTGTCAGCTATGTCATCAAGCTGTTCCGAGGTAAACGTTATCTTGTCCAAGTATGACGATTCAAGTGATGGATTTAATCAACCGGGCGATGATGATAATTTAGTTAAGGTAATTCATAAATATAATATTATGTACAAACATATTATATTTAAACAAGTTTTATTTTTAATTTTAGTTACAGTACGGGTATTCATCGATATCACCAAACTATTCTCCAGGCAACAATATATCAAGTAAACAGGAAGTTGCCACTACATCTATTCTTTTCTTCATACAGACATCGCGAAAATTCTCAAAGACGTCCGCCAACAATAAAACGTCGATTTTTAAATATAAATCGCTGTAATCGCCCAACGTCTTGCAACCTAAGTGGTCCCAGACCTCCTTCGCGTGATCAAATTCCTCCTCCTTTATTCCCGACTCGTTTAACGTACTATAAAATTCTCTCTTCCTCGGTAGTCTTTCTTCGTCCAGCCGTTTCCAACTATCCGTGTACTCGTACGGGTACACCCCCTTCCGAGTCACGGCATATCGACTTTATCAAAAACTCTAGCGGTCCCTCTGAAGTTCTCTAAACCCGGTGTCACAAGATTTTCGGCTAGAGTTGACAGTCCGGATTCTATAAACCGAAAAGTCTCGATGAAGCGGATTGTGAATTTATTTGACACGTATTTAGAGAACGATATATATTTTTCCTCACTGTTTGGTACAGGGTGCGGCGTAATGGACTCCCATATTTCAAATAATCATTAGCGCGTAATTAAACTGATTAAATTAAAGTGGTCTATTTCGCTAGATTAGATTATTAATAAGGTTTTTAGTCGTCACTATGCCGTGGTCTGGTGAACAACTTGGTTTCGTTATTGAGGCATTTTTCAAAAACGCTGAATGTGTGATTGCAACACAGAGAGCATTTCGCACTAGGTTCAGTTTGAATCCAAACGAAAGTGTCCCTGATCGGAAAACGATTTTGAATTGGGTACAAAATTTAAAAGCAACGGGATCTGCAATGCCTAAAAAACCGGTTGGACGTCCCAAGTCCGTGAGAACACCGGAAAACATTGCTGCAGTAAGAATATCGATAGAGGAGTCTCTGTCGCGTTCTGCTCGGAAACATGCCTCTGCTCTCGGGATATCAGATCGAACGGTAAGGCGAATTTTGCACTGTGATCTTAAATTACACCCATATAAGATTATGGTAACTCAGGAATTAAGTCCAACAGATTGGGGAAAACGAAAAGATTGCTGTAATGCAATCCTCACAGTTGTGCCTCTCAACGGTATTGTGTGGAGTAGCGACAAAGCACATTTCCACATTTCTGGCACAGTGAACAAACAAAATTTTCGTTATTGGGCTGTTGAAAACCCTCTAAAAATACACCAACGACCTCTTCATAGTCCTAAAGTAACAGTTTGGTGTGCTTTGTCCTCGGTAGGTATCGTGGGGCCTTATTTTTTTGAAGAGGGTGGTCTTACAGCTACTGTGACTTCCAACCGGTACTGCGAGATGTTGGAGAACTTTTTACGCCCGAAAATCGAAGAGTACGAAAATAATGATGTCTTCTGGTTTCAACAGGATGGGGCCACAGCTCATACAGCCCGTTGTTCTCCAGCTGTATTGCAAAAAATGTTTCCTGGTCGCTTGATCTCCTTAAGGGAAAACATTACATGGCCTCCTCGCTTCCCTGATTTGAGCCCATGTGATTATTTCTTATGGGGATACCTCAAAGCTGAAGTTTTCAAACATCGACCAAGAACCATTGAAGAACTAAAAGAGGCCATCCGTCAAGAAATCTCCGCGATTCCACTCGATATGCTGGCAAAAGTGATGGAAAACTTTCGAGAACGGCTCCATATGTGCGTTGCTCGTCAAGGCAATCATTTAATTTATATCAATCATATAATTTTTAAAAACTAATTTAAAAAAAACCTTATATAATATAGTTTTTAAAAATAAAAATTTTTTTTCTTTATCTTGTATCGTTTTTTTTTAAATTCACTTCGGAAATGTGGGAGTCCATTACTGTAATGGCTTCCGTGACTATAAGGTGCGCGTCGTAGTTCGATAAGTTGTGGAAGTAGCACGGTACGAAAACAGGTGTTTAAGTTTTTGATTGCACGTGTTGCATAGAGCTTTACGATATTTCCCTGAGAGATGGCAATGATTAGCTGTCTTACAATGTTGTATTTCTGTGGGTGATGTGAAATTGATTCGACAGAGGTTGCACTGTGTAGCCGCTTCATGAGTCTGAACATCATCCGCAGACATTTTTATCGGAATATTCGTCTTCAATAATTTCTCAATCTTTAATGCTATTTCAGTTACAGTTATAGTAACACATAAAACGTTGTACGTACAGGTATAGATATCTAGAACAGACTGATTCTATATCATTGTCCGATACAGTGTCTTGAGATTTTTTTTAGGTATGATAGCATTTTATGGGGGGATTCTGATATCATTATGAATATCTGTTACTTACTAATAGACACAATATACAACAATATAAATTATGTATTAAAAAAATAGTGTTTTAGATTTTTTTTTTAGGTATGGTAAAATTTAGTAAAAAGTTTGATTTCATTGTGTGTTATTCACTAATAGATATTTTAATTTGTCGATGTTGTTAGCCGTTAGGCGATTAAGATATTTTTTAGTATAGATTGATTATTAATGTGTTATTCATTAATATGTATGATAAAATTTCGTGGGAAGTTTGATTTCATTATGTGTGTTATTCACCAATAGGTATTTTAATTTGTCGTTGTTAAGTATAATACCTATCTAAGAGTCTACAGGATAAATGTGTAATTGATAACGGGAAAAGTATATTATGTTGCTCACATAACGTATCGGATGGTGAGGGGGTGGGGGGTTAATATACAAAATATAAATCGGTCACGTGATACGGGTTTAGGTGGAGGGGTAAATATACGTCACACACGTACGCAATCAAGGATCAAAACTCTTAGGATCAAGGATCAAAAATCTCGGATCAAGGATCTCGGGATCAAGGGATCATACATCAGAACATACCAATTCATACTACTTTCGTCGTTACCCACAGATATTCGTCTAAAGAAAAATTAAACTTAAAAGGAATCTTGTATTACAATTTAAAATCTTAGATATAAAAAGAAATTAGTTTTAAAAAAAAACTACTAATAATCGAAAATTTCAAATGCCTATAAATAGTTCAGCACGAGTCAAAATATTTTGAAAATGGTATCGTGTATAGAAAATGCGGATATAAATATTCAGTGAATATGTCATGTACTTATCTTCGGTATTTTTTTTTAGTTACATCAACACCAAAATTGATTTTGTCAAAACCCAGATTTCCGTCAAAATGTCTGTTTTTCCTTAATTTTTTGTTTATTTTTCTTGCTACTTTTGAAAACTATTGGGTTTTTTCTAGTTTTGATCCCCCAAAGTACCAACTAGATTTACTTTCCTACCAGAAAAGACACTATTGAAGAAAACTAGAGCTTTTTTATTACCCCAAAAGGTAAGGACACATAATAAAAACACACGACATTGTAAAATCAGTGACCGCTCCGCGTATAACCTAAAATTAGATATGTTAATTCCTTTGTATAATTATATTTCGTTTCCATACATTTTAGTTTATTTAGGTGTTTAAAGTTTTAAACATCGAAACCCAAATAAATGATTTTGGTGGAAAGCCCTGCACTTATCACTTCAAGACCACCTGTGGATGAAGTCCAACTTAAAATATGTGCATACCAACATTTAACTTGTATTCATTGTTTTAAATATATTTTATAACAAATATAAAAATAAAAATGTGTGTGCTCAGTGTACTTAACACAATTATCCAGTTCATTTCATAATTGTCTTATTAAATCACAGAGGAAAATTAAATAAGAAAGTTTCAATAAAAACAACAGGTTCCCATTAAAATACATGTTTAAAGCATAAATTGTATATGTATATAAAGCACTAACAATAACAAAATCATGGTATTACATAATAATTTCTTCATATTTTTTTATAAGTTATTATAGAAAATATAAAAATTATAGATAATTCAATACATCACATGAGTAATGTTACTGCACAATTATTTTATAGCTAAAATGAGAAATATAATAGTTTCATTGTGATTTATACCACTTAATAATATTTTTATAGTCGCAGATACATATTTTTAAGTACAAATATATATAAAGAAAAAATAGAAAATTATCATTACGAAAATAAACATGTTTGGAACTGAAAATAAAAATAAAAATAAATAAAACAGGATTTTTAAACTTGTCAAAAACATTATTATTGTTATTCTGTTTTAGTAGTTTTTCTCTGACATATATTTAAAATAACAAACCACAAATTTAAACAAATCCAAAATGCTTAGTTTTTATGGCAATCAATAGTTTGTGCCTAAGTATAGTACGACTGCTGTATAGTGGTATATACAATCTAGATATACATGTGTTTGCAGTTGGCAAGTGTGAATCATCAGCAGGACGCATGGTAACGCTAGGCATTGGCTGGAATCCTTCTTCAGATGCCGGTAATGCTGGTGATCCGGTCCAGAAATATACCTGAAAATATATAATATAAAAAAAACAATATATAAGAAAAATGTAATTATAGGTAGAATTCTTAATTATTATTATAAAAATTGTAAGTGATTATTACCAAATCTTGTCTTTCGGATGGAGTCATTTTATCAACAATAGACCACAACCAACGCTTAAATTTTATTTGACGATCGCTAGTGGCAAGACCAGATTCATCGTTGAAACTAGTATACGAAATTAGCAAAGGTACATTAATATCACCAACTCCATTTAACAGCAATCTCAAATCTTCAGCAGTCAAACCGTCCAACGAACTTTCAGGAATCACATCAAATACTCCAGATCTCAATGCCTAAGAGAATAATCAAGTATGAATATGGTAAGTATCTATCAGTAGACATATATATATTGAACTTACAAAGAATGCTTTCTGTTGAGTTTTGAACATTCTAAACTCTGCATATCTCCTTACATAATCATATACATTGGTGGGAGTCACTTCAATATCAACACCACAACTAACCAATTCTACACTTCCACCGCCTTCTTCTTGACTCAGATCAATGCTGAAATATGAAAAAATCTTAAATATTTTTAACACTTTTGTTAGTCTAAAAATATATACCTGAAATTTAAATCTAAAGTTGAGAATAATGATTCTTTATCTTTCGATTCAGCATCTAACACAAGTTGTCTGAGACTTTCATACATGACTGGATCAAAAAAGGCTAGATCGTGGAATCTTATGGATCTACCAAGTATCACTTTAAGAACATGGCGATTAAAATACATTGGGCATAATTCATTTTGTAAAAGACATAATCCAATCAATCTAAATAACATATATTTATGATAAATAAAACAATTTTAAACAAATACACATAAATAATTTATAATTTTAGATACAAAAATTACCTTCCAGTATTTCTGAATGCATTCAGACGTTCGTAGGAAGATTTTCCTTGACGCGGTGAGTAAAATCCTTGTTTACCAGGGCAATAAAATAATGGTGTGTTATCATCCAAATTTTCTTCTGTTACATTTTCTTCTGCAATATTTTCTTTTGCAGGTGGAGCAGGCTTAGAACCCTGTTGTTCAGAAAGGCTTAAGAACAAATCAACGTCTTCTGTAACGAAACAATTAATGAATAATTAGGTACGTTAACTTATATATCAAAACAAGAAAAATACCAAGAAGACTATCAGCAGGAGGTAATGGATGAGCCACATCAACAAGAGATGACATTTCAACAGTTTGCATTAGCAATGCAATAGCTTCATTCACACGCATCCTTAAAGCTTCTTCAGATGCTAATAGTGTTAATAGTTGGGCAGGTGATAACTCTAAAAGCATTCCCGTAATTTTGCTGGCTAAACTTGGTCTAATTTGAACAACCTGTAAAACAAATAGATATGTTTTATTTTTACATTTTTGATCAAACAAAAATTATTTAGAAAAAAAAATACCTTTGGATACAAGCGTTCCCCAAGTTGTTGTTGATGAGGAGTTAAATGAGAATTCGGATTAGCATCGGATGATCCAGAATTAGGAACAAATGAACGTGCATCAACAGAGAGTGTACGACGTTGTTCACGGTCATTACGCTCAGACCGCCTTGATGGCACTCGTGGTGATAAAGGACCAGCATGTCTTATTCGGGGAGATTCAGTGCGCTCACGATTTCTTAAGCGTTGAAGAACAGTATATTGTGAGTATCGACCACCAACTTGGACTGATTCAAGGTTTGGCAATTTATCACACGATAGAAGAGCCTTAACAAAAAATACATGTCATTAATTAAAAATATCGTACAAATAATAACAAAATGTATTTATATTTACCTCAGCTAGGGCAGTATAAAATGATCTGGCAACACCTGATCCTTCTCCAGGTTCATCTTTAAATGTTACTTTTACTCTGTTAACTGCTAGACAGGGATGAGTACTAGATGTTCTACGGTGATAAGAATTATATTGATTGTTTAATTCTTTGAAAGTCATGAGAATCAATTGATTACGATCACGTTCCAACTGTTTGAATTTATTCAATTTGATTTTAGTTAATAATACAATATATTATAATATTTATCTAAATGTTGTAAAAAAATTGTATAAAATACATACTTTTGATAGTGTTAAATCTCGATTTTGCTGGTTTCTTAACTTTTCCATATCTCTGCGGAACTTTGCTTCTTTAACCGGGAAACCCCCAAGTTCAGATACAACAGACCCAGGTTCTAAACCTACATCTTCCATAAACACACGACCAAAGAGATCTAATGTCAAACGCCAGCGACCTAACAATAAGTCATGGGATACACTCTCTCCTAAACGGCTTCCCCTTAAAAAAGAACACAGAAATTAAAAATGTGATTTCAGCGTGCAAGACAAATAAACAAATAATAAGTTTGTAACATACTTATTCATAGGTTTAACAGTATCATTATTTGAATATGAATTTTGGCTGTCGTCTACATCAGGATTTGGTTTTACTTGTGCTGAACTTGACTATATTTGAATAAACAAAAACATGAATAAAACATATTTTATGCATGTCTATTTCTTTAAATATATTTTACTATAAAACAAATTACAATATCCATGAACTGCATAATACCAGATACGAGCTTATAGGTCAATTAGTATATGTATCAGCTATTATTAATGTAATTTACTGTAATTATTTAATTGTAATTGACTTGGCTGAAATAAATTATGAATAGGAGTAATGTTACTTAACTTCTAAACATCAAGGAAGATACCTTCATATGATTTCCTGAATAAAAGAAATAAAAGGAAAACACAGAACAGAGGTCAAATTGTCTTGAAAAAAGAAGAACAATCCTGAGATACTATTAGGTAAAACTGATTAAACATAGATCACATCAGCAAAGGAAAAATTAATTTTAAAGATTACAATTAATAGACATATGTACTCAGAATGACATTAAATACTATTATAAAAATATAACTAACAGTGCTGGGTATATTACTCAAATTTAACTATGAAAAAAAAATGTTTTAATGATAATTTTCAATATTTCAATTAAATATCTAAAAACATGAAAATATGAAATACTTTTAAATTAAATCACTTTCTAAAACCTTTAAATTAATATGATACAAATAATATGTTTAGTATATATTTTTAAACTTACAGAAGTAGATGGAGTTCCACCAGAAGGAGCTCTCACAATTACACTTTGAAGCATAGGTGATGCAGTATCAGAGAAAGTACTTGTTGGTACAATTATTAAGTCTCGATCTCTTTTAGTCATGTCAGCTGTAATCAGTAATGATTATTAGATTTTTTAAATGCTTATTAGATATTTTTTTTTTTTTGTTATTTTTTACATTCAGGTATTGCAGGTTGAGAAGTGTCTGATTCATCACCCAGGCCAAAGAATTCGGTAATTTCATTCAATTTTTCAGCTACATTAGCACGGATAGAGAGATCTTCTGGTTCAGTATCTTGTCCTAAAATTTGAATTATACATCAACAATTTTGAGACAATTAAGGAAAACGCACCCACAACTGTTTCAAACAATCATCTTGCTACAAGAAAAAACTTTTAAAATATCTACTATTAACTAAGTAAAAAAATATGAAATTAATAATTACAATAATTATATCAAAAAATATTTATAGCAGTTAAAGCTTTGTTATTAACTATATATAGTTTATATAATTTAAAAAGTAATAATTGCATAAATATATGAGTAAATTAAATGATTCAACTATGATAATGTTTTAAATTAGTTATAACAAGATGAAGGCATGTCTAGATGTACTAGTTTTTAACACAGTGAAGTCCGAGATAAAATATTTTTGTCTGTTACCGGAATATAAAATATATTAAATGCATAGGATACATGGGTGAAAAATTACATACAAATATTAATTCTCATTAGTAGTCACACAAATGTGTGATAATTTAACTCATTTAGATTTAAATTCAATGGAATTTGTAGCTCCAACACTAACAGAATATGAGTATGTCAGCGGACATCAATATGTTAATATTTTTTAATACATTTGCTTCAGTTTATCTTTTCCACATGTAAACATGCATTCCATTAAATTATAATATTTTACAAATACTGTTATTTCTAATTATATAATTATTGATCATATTATGTAACCTAAGAAACAACTATCATTGATTAATTAATTTTTGGTCCTAGTATTATTTAAATGTATTTTTAATTGATGCTTTAAAAATATAATAGTAACTAATATTCTTAGTTATATAAAAATTAATTGGCAATAAATAATTAATTATTATAAGTTTGTACAATGGCATATTAAAGGTCCTAAATGGATAATGTATAAATTATAGCAAAAAGAATTTAATAAATTATGTACCTTTTGATTTTTTATATCATCCAATAATTTGGGAACACTGTTATCATATACAATATTTAAAGACAACCAAATTATAACAAAACATTTATCAAAAATAACTGAATTCTAGGTTACACAATAAAATCAAACTACTCTATTCTACCAACTTTTTCTTTCATGTTCTTTGGGTAACTGTTCACTTCCATTATCGCTACGACTGGATAAACTAAGCCTTGATGGCAGACCTTCCAATGATCCATCTAAAGGTGCTACAAAATGGATCATGAATTTAAATAAAAAAATTTTTTTCTTCACCAATATAACTTATGACTTTTCATACACTTAATAAAAAATAATTTAATACCAGAAAGTTTTGGGGAGCCAAACATGTCTTCTTTGCGCGCATTAGGTTGAAGCAAATGTGGTTGATCAGCCAATGGCATGGCTTGAGTCATAGGTGTTTCAAATGGATCTGGTGGAGGACATCCTAAACATAAAGTAGAATCTGATCGTTGGAAAAATGCATGTCGTCGACCTCTAGTTCCAGAATCCATATCTACAAATCTTGGACTAGATGTTTGGCTGATTGTTGGTACAGTAGTATTAATTTCTTCATCATTTTCTTCATTATCATTTTCATCCTGACATATTTAAAATATAAATTGTTAAAACCTTCGAGAAAAGCTAATAAAGTAATAACAATGAAAAAAACCAAGTTATATTATATGAGTTAAAAGTCTTCCTAAAGTACTTACAAAAAATTCATAAACCTTAAATATTTAACTATACAAATGTTAAGCATGAAGAATGATCAAAAAGAATTCATCACATGCTATTGAAGGTAGGGGGTGGGGGTAAGACGACAATGAAGCCTTTAAGGGTGTTTTATATTTTAGGATTAAAAAAAGTACTTATAATATTAAATCACACAAAAACAAGCAGTACAATTTACCTGTGGCTCTAAAATCCAAGGTTCTGATGGATCTGTTGGATCAGGTAAAAGAATAGGTGCACTTGACGAACTTAACGTATTTAATGAGTTTAACGAATTTAATGTATTTAACGAATTTAACGATTGACAATTAACAGCAGCTGTATCAGCCCTCATATAATACACCAAAGCATCCAAAACATAAGCGACATGTTTTAAAGAAGAAACATCCAATACTGGTAAAGAATCTCCATGCTCATTACTGTGAGCACGCATAAGAGATAAACAATATGATATAAATTCACGTCGAGGTTCAACTGCCTGATTGTTATTACTAGTTGCACCTAAAAAATAAATTAAAAAATTAAATTAAATTAAACATAATATAATACCAGAATTTAATTCTTTTAACATTACCTATTCCAGACGATGTAGTAGGTATTGTATTTGTAGTATTATTTGTAGTTGTTGAATGTAAAGGATGTCTTGGATGTTGTGGATCAGACGATTGAGTGAGTGAAGCACCAAACCTAAGTTGTGCTTCAGTTGAATCCATTATTGCCATTAACCAATCCCAAGTAGGTTTAAGTGACTTTTCAATTATTATCTAAATAAAATGTATGATATAATAATATAATAAGTACACTATATTTTTCTAATATTACCTGTAAACTACAAGTATCTTGTGATGATATGCGCACGGGTATTGGAAGCGATGGCGGATCATTTATGGTTGTAACTAATAAATCAGAAATTTGTCGTATGACTACTGCAAACGCTCTAGCTAAACTAGAAGCAGTAGTCGCCATTGTGATTGAATCATTGAGACCAGCTGCTGCAGAAGCAACTGCAGCTGCAGCGGCGGCTGCAGCATTATTGTTTCCATTACCAGAATTATTGGTACTGTTACTAACTGCAGCTACAGCAGACCTCCTCAATGATGTAGGATCTATGAACACTAATGAATTTCCAGAAGCAACTCTAAACCCTATAAAATAATGTCCTTATTAGATGAAATTTTAATAAAAAATATTCAATGCAAAAGATGATAATAAATGATTTATTAATTATTTTAATATCATAAGTATCAACGATAACTGAAAAAACTGAATAACTTCAAACTTGTAATAATATTTCATTGTACCACAATGTTGCCACTTATAAAAAGGCAATATTGGTATTTTTTTCTTATTTAAGCATGAAATTATGAAGAATACATTTAAACATTCAATATACACAATTTAATTTTATCCAGTATATTATGGTTAATAGTTAATACACAAAATAAAAACTATGATAGAACATAATTAAAAAAAAAAAATCAACCAAAACATTTTAAAAAATGAGAAAATTAATACATATATACTACATAGTACATGCTATGTAAAATAAGTACAAATTAAACTACACAAATTATACATAGTTGGTTAGCTTTTAATACATGCTGAATTTATAAACAATACAAATATTTACCTGTTGCTGTTCTTGTGGCAGTATCGCGGTTTCTGATTGCCCATTGCATAGATTGTGGTGCTAAATTAGTTCTATGTCCTTGTCCAGAAGTTGTACTGTGAAATATTTAATGATAAATTATTGTTTATATTTTTAATTTTACATAATTATTAAATAAATTAAAACATACGCTCTTCTTTCTAATTGATCTTCAGACACAAGGAATTCTTCGGCATCCAATTCATCAGTTTCTCCAGCTTCAGATTCTTCTCCATCTTCTTGTTGAGTAGACTCTCCTGATTCATCATCAGTATCTGATCCAGCAGTAGCCCCTGTTTGAACGCTTCTTTGACCTCCACCATCTTGATTACTTTGATCAGAATCTGAATCTGTTTCAACTAACATGTCTTCTGTATCAGATTCTGGGTCAACTGGACCTTGCTGGTTAGAATCAGAAATACCATTTGGTCCCAATCGAACATGATTGTCAAGCACACTTCCCATAACATCTTCTGGATCACTACCGTCTCCATCATTATCTGAAAAATAATTAAGTAACATTTATGGTTAGTTTTAGCCAATAATGTAATTTAAAAAAAAAAAAATGTTTTTTTTTAATTGTTAACACAACCAGTTTTTGGATATATATATGTTATAAGAATTTAAAAGTTACATATATTTTAATCAGAAAAATTAAATTAAAAATAAACAATAATGTTTAACTCTTTATTTTTTTAAAACTGTAAGACCAAAAACAAATTTAAATTCATGATAGTTCAAAATTAATTAATAGAAAAATTACTGTCTGCCATTTCATCTTCTAGTTCTATGTCAATTGGGGGTTGATCATTTTGGGATTGTCTATGTACATTAGCCCCTTCTATTTGATCGGACAAATTCATGTTATTTGGTGCCATTGGCTCAACAAAAAATATTTCTTCATAACTCTAAAATATATGAAAATGCATTATTTATTCATACCAAATGTATTAAATGTTAATGATATAAACCTGTATATCTGGATTAGAATTAGTAGACAATGTAAATGGGGCAGTAGGTCTTGCTACACCAAGCCGAACAGGTGCTATTAAGCTTTCAGCTGTTTCACATAATTCTTCAATTGATAGTTTCATCATTGATTGAAAAATACGTCTAGCACGAGCAAATGGAGAGGACAGATTTCCAAGCCTAATTTAAAAAAAACCACATTTGAAATAAAAAAATTGCATACATATTTATTAGTTCATCATACACTTACATTCGTCGTTTATTATTTTGAGGCGCTAATTCAACACTATAAACAACAAATACACGTATTACAGATCTAATAAAACGACGTGCTATTGAGTTGGCTTCAACTGAATTGCGTAATGGATTATTCAGTTCTTTTACAATTGTTGTAACAAGGGCATCAACCATCTAAATGTATAAAAATATTTTAAGTATATTATCTTAAAACATAAAACTATGAAATCAACTTACTAAAAATGAGCTAGTTATTACTTCAGCATTACATTTAAAAAGTAAACAATGCATAAACTTATCCAAGAATGTAGTACCAGACTGATTTTTTAAATATGGTTGGTCAGTTGGTACTTTGGATTCGGAATCATTTTTTACACCAGACATTATCATAGCTTTTACTGCAGGCCAATCATTTAGTAATCTTTCTAATGCTTTACGACTAAATCGGGGTGGTTCTAAATCATGATCTGGCATATCCATTTCTACAATAATAAAAATATAAAAACATCTCTTTGATAATACAATTTTGATTAAAATATTACCAATATCGGATGATGGTGTTTTTCGAGAAGCAGCTCGTTGTCTGGATGATCTACTATATTGACGTTGTTCATTTGATTGACGACCAACAGTTTGTACCAAAAATAATAATATACTTTCTCCTCTGAAAAATTCAAGTTGTAAATAGTTATCATTTGAGAACATTTTAAAATAATACCTTGAATTATAATGGGTCACTAAATCAGTTTCATCAATTAATCTGTTGAGTAGCTGTGATCTAGATGCTTGATGACCTTGCACTAAAGCTTTACAGCGACATTTTTCCCAACAATCACAGTATGCAGTAGGAGATGTTCTTTTCAATTTACAGTCATGGCCTCGGTGACAAACCCGAGCACACTCAGTACAGCAACATAATGATCCAGTTAGGCCACATGTACGACATTCAAATATATCCTAGTGAAAAATAGTACAAAGAAAAAATGTATTTTATTAATATTTTAAGTATATTCAAATTACGATTAACTAACAATCAACATATTTATAAATTGTTATAACAATACATTATTAATTAATAATCAAAACTTAAGATATTCTTAAGAATAGATACTTGATACTGCATATAAATATCCATCATGTATATTAATAAACTCAAATTCTTGTTCTCCAACTTAATTTAATTATTAAAGTGAACGTAAAAACATATGAATGTTTTTATAATCAATAATTATTAGTTTGAAATAATGTTATTACCACGCACACAAATAAATAGAAATTTTTTTGTCACAATTATAATTAGACATTTTAGATATGCAAGTGGGTGAAATTTTGTTTCTGATTTTAACTGAACTTATTACCACAGATTTTAGTATAATATGTCTAGATAGGCACTTTTATAGGTGATGGTAATGCACATTATGATCAGTTAATTACAGATATATATAATAATCTATAATTTAAGAAATTATAGTAAATTTTCGAAGGCAGATAACTTCTTAATTTTGACCACATAACAAAAACATTCTTGAGGGTATTAACAGTGATAGAGGTGTAAGAAAACTACAAACTAATCGTAGTTTAAAATTCACAAAAAGGAAAGGTGTTATCAGCATGATAATTTCAAAGATAAGTCATATAAAAGAAATTACCTGATTAATATGTTCAGCTCCAGTCCAAGTAAAACTACAAGTATCGTTACAACAAATAACATGCAATGGATTGTAATCTGGATTTGAGCCAGTGGGATAAACCATAGAAGCTAAAATTTCTTTAGCTTTAAGAATTCTCTCTTTATAACCATCACGGAAAAATGTTCTGTCAGTATACCAAGTATGTGTCTTGTAAATTGATAAAGGCATAGCTAGTGGTGGTGGTGGGAGAGGGAAATACCCTAAAATAAAAAATATATTTTAATTAATTAAGTATTTAAATTAATTTAGGAAAATTGTTTAGTATTAATAGCAATACAAATATTTTTAAAAGGAAACTAACCTTTAGAAAAATCAGTAGACTGTTGCTGTTGTGATGGAGGTGGTGGTGGTGGAGGAGGAGGTGGGGGTTGTGACTGAGGCAATCCAGATGAAGATAATGACCAATAGGGTGGTAACTCGAAATTACCAGCTGGGGAATTCTTAAACAAAGGTACTGGTTGAGGAGCTACTTCTGGAGGTCCTTTATTGCTACTGGGATTGGATCCTGTTCCAGCAACTGAAGATCTCCAAGCACTCATGACATTTTTAATTGCATGTTCTTGTTCTATAACTGTAGTGCCTTGCATTTCATATAAATGTGGCGGTAGTAATACTTTGGAAACCACACGATGAATAGTATCAAGTAAAATAATAGCAGCAGGATACGCTCTAACAGTCACCGCCAACATAAATGGAGTTAATCCTTGGGCGTCTCTAAAATTTTTTTATTTTTAATTAGTTTTAGAAAACAATAAAAAAAATACACAAGCCTAACTTTTTTTTTTAGAACTAATTGGTTAAAGTAAAAATTCTTTAAGTTCCAAAATTTAACAATAAGCAGTTTATAATAAAAATATTAATATCAGATTTTGAAGACTTGCAATTTTAACATACTTAGCAGTTAATAGATCCTGTAGATGAGGTGAAAATACATGAGATTCACACAGCAGTCGTAAAATAGCCAATGCATTGTTTCTTCTTTCAGTATTTGGGTTAATAGGTGGCGTTGGTTGAATTGTTTCTTCTTCATTTTGTAAGACAGGGTTTGACTGAGTAGTTGCATTAACTGGTTCATGCCATGACTCAGAAACAGTACCTGGAGGTGGTGCTTCATCATTGATTTCCATTGGTTCAGAGTCAGATGAGTTATTAGTGGTACCTAATGATAAGTCAAATAAAAACTTTTCATTAGCTCAATAGATGTAATATAGATGCACTATGTTTTCCAATAATATACGAACATAGGAAAACTCACTGGCTACCCTAAATGATATAACTTACTTGATCTAACAGCAGCTGAAGCTCGTCTCATCATTTCCCGTAAACTAAACGATGATCGTACCCCGAATGCCTTTTGAATAACATTCAAAGTGTCTACGTTAGAATTTGGTTGATTTGATACACTATCTCCTTCTAAAAATATTATAAAATAAACGCACACATATTTGATAATTACTTATTATAAATTAATAATAATATATTTTTAATACCTTCTAGTTCTTTATTAGAAATAGGAGCACAGACTGAAACACAAGCATGTAAAAGATTGCGATTACCATCACATCGCTCTGCCAAAATCTGCGACAAGAGGACTCCATTATCTATAAAAATGAAAAAATATACCATTGTGAAATTGTAAATCAAGAGAATAAAAAATATAATTAGTACCAAGTTCCAGTGTTAACTGTTGTATCAACATTTTAACAGACTCAAGATTGGGCTTTAGTATACGGGACATAAGTATTTGTTGTTCTACATCCAATACTATGATGGCCGCCACAGCTTTTACGTGAGGAGAAGTAACTGTATATGAACCAATACCCATACAACGAACAGGTCCCAAATCTAACCACTGTGGCTCTCTCATTGAATCGGTACTATCTTTAGCCAGAGGGTATATAGTTCGGTTACCATCACGTAAAATACATATATTATCTTTGCTCTAGAGTGAAAATATAAAAACATTACAATCACAAATTACTTAAAAGTAATAAATATAGATATCAAATAGAAAATTACCTCAGCAGTACAAATTATCTGCATGTTATCAGGATTCAATCCTATTAAAGCACTAGCATCAACCGGAAAAGGACAATCTTGCTCAATTTTCCCACTAGTTACATTAAATTTGATATAACTGATTTTTGAACCATTTTTTACAATGGCGTGTACACCTTCAAATAAAACATAATTTAATATGAATAAAATAATCAGGATCAATTAATATACCTTGGCCATCAATAGTTAAAGTCAGAATTTGATTTCCGTTATCAGTAGGTATATTAATTCTTCTAGGTGTTCTCTGAAAACAATCTGGCACTTTACTAGCAACAGCCACCTTACAAACCTTAATATAAATAAATAAATATATAAATATTAGTTATTAAAAAAAATACAGCTAAATATTTTTTATATTCACCTGTAAGTCATCTTTTTTCATTAATCTGACTTCATTTTGGTCCAACATCTTTATAATGTTTGTCACCACATCATCATTTGCAGCTGCATTTGCATCTTTATCTTTAGGAAATATTCCAGATATAATATCTTTTGAAACACAAGGGAACTTAACCGCAGCATATGAACCGTCCACGTGAACAACACGGCCTGCAAAAAATTATGTATATAATAACTATTACGTGGAAATAAATTAATTATAGGCATTACCAATAGGCAAACTCTTTTGGTCTTCAACAAATACGACATCTTTTAATGGCCAATCTTCTTCAATGTTTTTATCATCTTCAAGACCTTTCATTGTCACTCTTTTGGTTCTCTCTGAAAATTATTACAAGCGTTTAATAACTACATTTCTAAAAAGCTAATTATTTTCCCAAAACAATCCTCAGTAAATTTTAATTGAAGTTTTTATTCATTTTGATTTTTAAAATAATCTCATATTCTGTAATCTATATTATATACAAATTTGGTTATATTTGGTGATAAATAAATTAACATATTCCCCAAAAATCGTAATCATTAAGCAGGTGTGAGTATTTATAGTACAAAGCAGTGAACGGGTAAATTTGCTTACTTGAACTTTGAACAGTACTTCCTGTTTCACTACAAGTACTTGATGCAGGAGAAGGAGGTGGTGGCATGTCAATTCTATCAGCAGTCTCTTTACTCTTTTCTACAGGTGAGCATGATTTAGAGGAACTACTATTAATATTTTGAGACTGAAATATCTGAGGTGGTGTCAAAATTTGAAATCTGCAAACATCAGCGTATGTCCAAGCAGAATTTAGTAATTGACCTATTTTAGGTTCACCGCCGTATAAAGTTATACCTATAAATAAATAATAAAATGAATAACCTTTTATGTTCTTAAAATTTAAAATGTATACATACCAATAGCTCCTGGCTGATAAAGTGGACTATTTTTCATACAAACTTGGCTTCCAACAATAATATCAGAATTTAAATTGTTTGTTTTTTGTTTTCTAGCTTTAGTGCGGTATTTATCCCATATTTTACGTCTTTGATTAAATGGTAATACTCCCCTATTTGATTTATATAATTTTAATTGAAATTAAATCAAATGACCCACAAAATCATAAGTAAAATGAATACATACCACCAATAAAGTGCTCCACTTTCCAAACGCGCTAGAGTATAGAGTGGACAAGTGTGAATAGAAATTATATGATCAACAACAAATTCAGAATAAAGCTGAGCTGGATGTTCAAGTTTAGAAGCAGTAGCAGCATGAGTTAGACTTTCATCCATCCATGTAGCTACTTTATTAGACTCAGTTACAACAGAAACTCGTATAATAGTACCCGAAAGAAGAACTACTTTTTCATTAGTTAATCCAAGAGCATTTGTCTTTGGATGATGTACATTGTTCTAAAAAAAATGTAATGTAAAAAAAAATTTAATAATAACAAAGTTATATATTTTACATACATCTAAAGTCTTATACGGATCAGCATCCTCCCATTTCCATTGATAAAGTTGTCCTCCAGTAGATAGAGCAATTAATTCTGAATGGATTGCTGCAATTTGTATAAATTTTACATTTGGTTCTGGCCAATATTCTGCATCATTTGACAACCACAGAGGATTGCCAGTATTATTATCTTTTTTTTTAGAGTCTGCGGAAAATTCATAAGATCCAGCGTTAGAATCCTTCTTTTTAGAGTCTACAAAAAATACAATTCAAAACATTATAAAAGATCATTAAATTTAAATTTCCTTTTGTATAATTTACCTGTATCTTTATCCCATGATGAATCACGTAGTGCTCCCTCAAGCCATTGTTGTTGTCTTTGACGATGTTGTTGCTGTCCATAACAATGACGATCTCTCCATCTAGTAAAACTATCTCTATCACTTGGTCCTGAATTACGATCACTAGATGCACTGTCATTTGCACTATTGCTTACACGATCACGTTCACCTAACCTTCTAGCACCACTCCTACGAAATGTCAACATGGGTCTAAAATCCATGTATATACTTATAAAGGTAAATAAAATGCAATACAATATATCACATTTACCTTCTAGATGAAGAATATGAAAACATATCTTCAGAGAAAATTGCATCAGCATCAATAATGACAGAATGGTCCGAATGAAATCCTCCACCATCTAATAAAGACATCAAGTCTTCAGGAACATAAGAGTCTCCACCAGGCCCATTGACTTCCTCAATTTCTCCATCGCCTTCTTCATCATCACGTGATAAAAGATTGTTGACAGCCAGATTCACATCCAAGTTTGTTCTCTGAAGTTCACGTATTATTAAATTTCGACTTTTACCTTGCAACACAACTTGTGCTTGAGCTACAAGTTCTTCTGGTACAAATTGAGCTGGCATAACTGGACGTCCACTTGATGAACCACTGCTCATTATCACACCACTACCAGATGACCTGAACAAATTAAAATTATTATCTACCGAAATTTATATTAATATAAAATGTTTGAACATTTTACCTTGAAGTTCCACGGAATGTTCCTGATCTCATTATACGAGCTCGTCGGGTGAGATGACGAGTGGCAGAACTTAAATTTCCACCACCCCCACCACCACCACCTCCACTATTTCCACTGCTGGACTTAGAAGGCAACTTATTTGCATCTCCAGTAGATCTGGACAAGTCCAATCTTTCAGCAAGTACTGTAAATGGAATTCGAGCCACTCGTCCATCTTCAAATAATAAGCCAATATGATATGGTCCTACTACAATCTGTTTGATTGGAGATTTAATGTTTGATAGCACAGGATAAGAAGATGTATTTCCTAAAATACTTCTATTTAAACGTTCTGAAACTTCTTTAAACCTAAAAACAAATGCACAAAATGTTTATTAGATAAGTACATTCGGGTATTTTATTAAAATATAAAATAGGTGACTAAAATTTTAAATTATAAACAGTATAAACTTAACCAGCAACACTTAACTCACAACCTTTTAAATCTAATAAAACTGTGAATACATATTTTTGAGTGTTTTATTAGTTTGAAATGTGGTATCCAAAGTAATTCGATTGAAATTTATATTTATTAGCATTTTTATTTTTAACAGCATACATTTTTTAAATGCACCAACCTTTAGGTACCTATTATTTGTTAACACCAATCACCAGACCAATCATTATATTTTGGGACCTACATAAGTGTAATTAAAAATATAAATAATATAGGTAAGAACTTACACAAAAAAAACCTTTTTACCAACCATTTTAGTGATTTGGTTGATTTCTACAGATACCATAAGGGTTCTCAGGGCAAACATTAGATAAGTACCTACCAATATGCTGAATTAGGGTTTGATAATAAGAGTGAAGTAAATATTATTAATAGGTAGCTCTGTCTATTATTGTAATACATGATAATACCAACATACAGTGGAAGGTCGATTATCCGTCTTTACCCGGTAGGTGTTTTTTCTCAATTAATCAACTTTTTTAAACAATAATGTTTAAATAGGTAATATAATATAATATGAATGTATGTACCACATATCATATAATAAATAAATGTACAATAATATACAGTAGGTACCTAATGATATATAATTTGTTATAATTACAAATTAATAATTAATAGTTACCTATGTATGTAGATATGTTTAAAATAATGTTTTTGCTAAAAAAGATTCTAGTCCCAGGACTTATGATTAATCGAGATTCTACAACTGTACTTAGTTAATAAATTAAATATCTAACATAAAATTAAAAAATAAAAATAAGAAAAAGTAAATTAGGTACTAATATTTAAGTACATTAGCACTTGTTTGGTATGTGACCTAAAATATTGGGTATTAGTTTAGTATTTTTAGTCAAACTAAAAATCATAAAATTATGTTATTTTATTATTATTAAATAATTAGTAATACAATTATAAAACAATAAGGATTAACTGCATTCAATAATTTCAAAATTATTCAAAAAATGTCATACAATTTTTTTTTTAAATGTTTATCAATATGATTTTTCTATCACTTGAAAACATGAAAAAAATGTATCCTGACTGTTTTTAGATAGTTAATTCGAACTTGGTCCGTACATAATAAAGATATACCGTTTTGGTAGGTCACATGCTAAATAAATACCGGCACATTTTATTGGACTAACCAAACATTTAACATATTGTATTGGAAGAATTATAGATGTAAACAATAGATGATTTCTCAAGTAGATAATTAGCATTAATTTTTTTCATGAACTGCACATATAATTTAGAGAGAAATCTATAAAGTAATAATTAATTAACTTAACTATATTAATGAGCTAGTTTACCTACTTCACAGACGTTTATTTTGCCAACTTCGACAATTAATTTAATAATGAAAAACCTATAATTAAGCATATATTACAAAAAAAAAAAATGATATTATCATGATTTAATACAACATAAATATTTGTTAAGTGCCTGTTATTTATGTCAGTAATTTAATTATTTTAAATCAAAAATTATTTGCAAACTAAATGAAATATTGAAGGAAAAGTAAAATTATGGTCTTAGTAAACAGTAATAGGTAGATTGGTGGGTGAAGCTTAAAAATTAAAAAAAAAACCTACAAATTTTCAAGTACAAAGAAAAAATATTAACCTTAATGTTTAGAAAAAATATCAAAAGAACACCACTACCAGTTATATTATATTACTTTCTGTATACACTGTCAAGTCTATAGTTTATCAGTGTTAATGAGATAGTAATTAAAATGTGGAAATAGTTTTTTTTTTTTTTAGATATAAACTTAAGAATAAAATTGTTGTCTTTATCAAAAATTGTAATACTACATGTTTATTGTTATTTATTATAGGTACATTAGTACATCACCTCTAGGTATCTACCAATCAATTTAATTGTTAATTTAAAAACTATTACTTGTAATAAAATTATGTCAAACTTATTGTTATTCAATTAACATATAGGTTACAATATATAAGTAGTCACATATATTCGTAATTTTGACAGAAAGTTCAACGGACATAGAAAATATTTACCTTATGCTAATCAAGCATAATTGAAATTATAAACATCCAAAATTATACAATAAGGTACAACTTTTAAAACAAAATGTCTTATTTGTTTATTCATTGGCAAAGGAGAATTAAGAAATACATTACGTAAATGGAAGATGGTCTACCCTTATTTAAGACAGTACAAAGAACACTGTGCCATAATATATGTACACAGACCACATTCGTGCACATTCAGTCCACCAAAATATTAATTTTGCAGTATGATCCTACCTATAGGCATTTAACATATTGTACTTATATATCAGATACTAACCACACAAAAAGTACCACCTCATATCAATGGCTAAATGAAGTTTATTAAGTGAATATTTAAGTGAATATATATATCCATTTATGAGCAAAATATCTAAAAAATCGGTGTGCTAACAAGGAGATCAACAGAACAGTATGCAATAAGATTAGGTGGACAAGTGTTGGTGTAACGATACACGGCCTAGGGACTCAAACCTCTGTTGTAGAACGCAAAATCGTTCAAACGATTTCAATTTGATGAACGGCAGAGATGAGACAGATACTGAAACCATATTATAATGTAGGTACCTATGTGATATCATCATATTATGACCAATGAATAGTGTACAACATGGGCAGTGAAATTAAAATTAAAATCTGTCTTTGGAATAATCAACAACAGAACACTGTCTGGTGGACCACCATCAGTATCACCACAACAAGAGGAAAAACTTGAAGGCGCCGTCCAGCGGCTGCAGTACGCTACAAACAAAAAATATGAACAGCGACGTTTGCGACCGACGGACGCACGGTCGGGGTCAGCGGAACACGTCCGGTCGCCGTGCAATAAGACAATGACATGTAGACAAACGAAAACGATTGTACGCATTAAAGTGTGTGCCGACCTGTCATTGAGCTGATCGTCCGTTCCAGGGGCTGGATGCACGATGAATTGTAAAGACGACATTGGACGCGTACCGGGGCAGAGAATGTCTGCCGGCGCACATCAACGCGAACCGTCTGACGAACGTCTGGCCGTTTAGCTGTGGAATTCGGGGCGGCGAAAACGAGTATCGTCGAGACGGTGCACGCAGGGACGAAAGGGCCGGAGAAAACGACACTAATGAAATAAAACTGCACGCACTACGCATACACACACACAAACACCACACGTCGTGCACACAATACACAAACGGTTCAACGAGCGAGATATGCTATCGCCATTTTTGACGATGATGATGAGGATGGTGACGATGACGAGGGCCGAGGGGTATCGGACCGAATGGTTCAGTAAGGTGCACAAATAATGCACAATGGTCGTGCGGTGATGCCGAAGTGGGAGGGAGACCGGAGACTCACCAGACGACAACCTACCATGCCGACGGCAGCTGGTCACCGATGGTTACCAAGGTTACCACACTACCACCAGTCGCGGTTATTCATGTTTGGTACGACGATTTCTTGATCAAACGAAACGCGGCAAATGCGGCATGGAAAAAGACGTGCTGGTGCAGTGGTGCAGTGATGCTCCGTACCTCCACAGACCACACTCCACAGAACAATGAATGTACTCACTGCTGGCTAGTCGCGCTCAGTTTAAAAACAAATCTATGTGAATTAGTAATAATACGTATAAATCGTTAAAAGAATTTTTTTTTGTTTCAAAATTAGGCTTAAACGCCGCTTAAAAAATTATTATGGATTAACGCTCAACTTTTTTTTAATTTGCACCAACAGCAATTTACGAAGAACTTTGTATTACATTCACCAATTTTTTTGACCGAGCAAAAAATTTTTTATCGGCACAAGTTTAAAAAAAACAAATAATAATCTTTAATTTCATATGGCTATAAAGTATAAATAGTTCAACACAAGTCAAATATTTTGAAAATGTTATGGTGTAGAAAATGCTAACAAACATTCAATGAAAATTTCATGTATTAACGGTCATTATTCTTAGAGCTCCTCTAAAAACCAAAATCGATTTTTTTTAAAATCGGTTTGCCTAAAAATTCCTGTTTTTTCTTAATTTTTGACCTCCCGACCATACCAACTAGATTCACTTCCCGGTAAAAATCTAGTTTAGCGCCCACGCGAGGTTAGGTTAGTGCAATAAAAATGCATTTTTTTTAACCTTGTGACCTACTTGGGGTGGTATTGCATAACAAATCGAGGGATATTTTCGTTTTTAACTGTCCGAGTGTATATAGGTGACTCGGTGCTATAAAAATTCAATAATAATACATTAATTCGATGTTCGTTATCGGACGTGCAAATGTTTGTATGCGGATGTTAGATTGTATATGATTTAAGATAAAGATACATAATGTTTTCGACCATAAATAAAATGTAATACTTAACTTTAGTTCATAACTGTCTCATATCTTTGGTAACTGTTTCTAAAGCAGTATTCGTGACACGTGAGTTACATACTTTTGAAGTTTTTATTTTATCATGTCGTGGTCCATTGTTAAATAATTGTTTAAATTATTTGAGTATAATGAAGACGGTCCGTTGTCAATGCCAGTTATTGAACTACTTCAATTATGGGGTCTGATTGCCAAAAATAATAGCCTCAAATGTAAAAATGGTCATTTTGCGAAATTATGCCAGCACGGGGACTACGCTGATGGGTTTGTTTGGCGGTGCAGACAGTGGTCTACAGTCAATAAAAAAAAAGTGAGGTGTGACTTTAAACAGTCAATAAGGAAAGGCACGTTCTTCAAGTCGATTTATCGAATCGTAATGTTCGCATACTTGTGGACGGGGAATGTTTCTCTTTCCTTTATTAAAAAACAAATTGACGTAGCGCGACAATCAGCTATCGATTGGGCATCTTTCCACCGGGAAGTAGTCTGCGATGGAATGATATTGAGGCACGAAAAAATTGGTAATTTTTTATTTTATTTTATATAAAGCGACAGTATTCTTTTTATTATTGATTATATTTATTACGAAGGCGGTGTTGGAAAAGTTGTTGAAATCGATGAGTCGAAATTCAGTCGACGAAAATATTATAGAGACCATCGAGTAGAGGGGCAATGGGTTTTTGGTGGAGTAGAGCGGATAACAGGCAAATGTGTTTTATTACCCGTGTCCCGTAGAACGTCGTGACAAAAACACATTCAAAATTTTCAAGAAAAAATTTGGAGTGTATCGGTACGTATCGGGTCAATTTTGAGCGTTCAAGATGTTACACGTGCAGTATACGAGCGATACGTACCGACCCGTATCGGACTCGGACTTCGGTACGTGGTGGTACGTAACTATTCCGTATCGAATTTTTCTTCTTGAAAATCTTGATTGCTGGAATTGATTAAACAGTGGATTTTACCCGGTACATTAATCATTAGTAATTGTTGGAAAGTATGTTGTCTTGTTTTATTCTTCAATATTAATCATGAATATTCAATTTTACAGTTATGACTGTTGACTGTTTAAAAGACGAGGCTTATGATTGAACATTTAACAGTTAACCATTCAATAGAATTTAAAAATCCTGATACCGGTGCGCACACGAATAATGTAGAGGGGATGTGGCGTCATGTTAAGGCATCCATTAGTCTGCAGTACTCTCGGAAAAAAAGATTTTACGCTGGGTATCTGGCTAAACACATGTTTTTAAAATCTTGCCGAAATTCAAATTTGAACCCACTAGATGAGTTTTTTCATTTAAGCTCATTGTTGTACAACCCTACTACACCGGAAACAGTCAATAGTGATGTTAGAGATGAAGTTTTGACCGAGTCATCGGAATCTGAAGAAGATATAGAGTCTGAAATAGATTTTGGATATTTGTAAAACTTAAATATAGAATATAAATTATAAACTTATGAAAAATATATTGATATTTATTACTTTTTTTAAATTTAAATTTTACTTAATTTTAAAGTAGGTATTATATTCCTTGTATTAAGTAAAATAGAGCGTTTAACGAATGCGTAAAACACAGAAAATCGTTATTTTTTTGATTATGCAGAAGTATTAACAGTATTATTACTTATTAGTAACAGGTATAATTACGTATTATTTCAACGACTGTCAACCACACGCATATAACTGATAAGTCTTATTATCGACCTAAAAATTAGTGATATGGATTGCGCAATGCTGGCCAAATTAAAAATAGTTAATTGAAAAAAAAAAGCAAAAATATAATCACCACACGGCAATGATCCAAACCGTGTTTAAATTACTTATTTAAGTAAATTGCCGAAAAATTCAAATTTGAAAAAGTTGTATCTCAAAAACTATTGATTTTCACCAATTTTTTTTTTGAACCATCGTTTTTAAAACGTTGATTTACCTAGGTTTCAAAAAAAAAAGTGAAAAATTCGCGTGGACGCTAAACTAGATTTGTTCCGTCTATTATTGTTAAATAAGTAGTATACCAGTTTTGTTTTATTTGATTTAAATGTTTTTATTATTATTAAACTAGAATAGATACCTAGTAAAACGGTATTATTTTAAATATGTAATTATTAGCTATTAATTATTATACTTGGAAGTATACCTACCAGTTTTGTTTAATATATTTTACAATTATGTACTAGACTAGGGATCCCAGTTATGATTATCAGCATTGTTTTAATTGTTCAAAATTATTTTGTACAATTTAAACAAAACATATATTTTTTATTTATATTACCTACAAATATTCAAGGCTGGGCAAGTTAATGATATTTTTTAACTCAGTTAAGTTATATTAAAATCCAAATCATGTTAATAGTTAAAAGTTTATCTAAAATTGTCTATCAATTGAACTAATTTAAGAGTTAACCAACATTTAATATTATTTTTTTAACTCATGTTAAGTTAGTTAAAAAAAAAAGTTTCTTGTTTTCATATAGGTAAAATACAAATAATCGGTACCTAAAATTGTTCATGTAATTAGACTAAAGAACTATCATTACTTTATGTGTTTCAAAAGGTAACAGTACAAATATTTTTAGTATACTTATAACTTATAAATTGTGTACCAGCAATGTGTATTCCTATAATAGCTCACATAATTTAAAAAAAAAAATGTTTGTATTTGTTTATCTATACTTATAAATTGAAAAATATTTACTTCATTACAAGTTACTTAGGACAATAATATATATTAACATTAGGAATATAGTATAAGACGAGCGATTCTCAACCGGGGGGTCGCCAACAATTATTTTAGGGTCGTCAATCCATGTGGGAAAAAAATTGTTTCACTTAGAATCGTATAATTAGTAGTAAGTGTTATAATATATATATATATATATATTTTTGGATAGTCCGATACATCTTTTTTTGTAAAATATACCTATACACAAATAAATACAATAATAACAGTTGGTTCAATTTTTTAAAGCTTACATTATAAAAGGGTCGTTGGACATCTTGGTGACATTATGGGGGGTCGCGAGCTCTAAAAGGTTGAGAACCACTGGTATAGACTGGAGTAAAGATATATCTTAAATCGTGGCTCGGACAAAAAAAAACAGAAATATCCCTCGACTTGTTATCACGGTTGTAGATATTTATTGTTCTATGCTACAACCGTGGTATCTAGTAAGGACAGTGTTGTTTTAATGTTCCATCGTGCGCTGCTGTAGTATTTTGTGATTACAACAATTTACAATTGTATTGATATAGGTTGAAATATTTAATAGTAAACGATTAGTTATTTCCATTTACAATATAGTTATTTTTTTGTGTTTACTTTTGTGTTTTTTTTTTGTGTAAATAATTGTTCTCAAGTCTCAATTGAACACGTATTTTTTTGTTTAAAATTAGCTAACTGAGGAAAAGTAAATAATGTCTTTGTACGACGATTTCGATGTCGTTAAACAAAAATCTGACGGCTGGTCATCAGGCATGAAGCTCTTCCAGTCGCAAATGCAGTTGAAAAAAGCAGCTCAAACTCAGGTTTGTAATTCATTTAATTCAAAATTTATCAAAGGAGCCATCATGTGAATTTCATTTTTTATCAGTTTAAACAAATTTGTGGTATATAATTTCTTGAATCATAACTTTTTTTTAAATATTGATAATTGTAAGTAAGTATAACTTCTACTGTTAAAGACTAGGATATTGTTATTTTATACAATTATTATATTTTGCTTTTAGCCAAGAAGAGAAGCAACCCGTAAATCCACATCAGTTTTAGCACCAGTAATTGATTTAAAGAAAAAAGATGATGATGAATCCATGTTTGACCCAGGACTTGGCTTTACAATTTTTCCCATTGCCCGAGTAATATAAATACGTATAAATAAATAAATAAACATATATTATGTTATCTACTACATGTGATTATACTGTTTATCATCAAATCATCTCATAATGTATGTATTGATGCAAAAAACACCAATAGGAAGGAAAAAAACCTCAACGTCCGTCATTTCCACCTATGGACTGGACTTTTGATGGCAATGAATATGACCCTATGATTCCCAATGATTACGAAAGAGTAGTTAGAGGTAAGTGTAATTCACAGAGCCATTCTAGGGTTTTAATAAATTATAACATTTTAAATGTATTAATATTTAGATTTAAGAGACATGCGAGATAAAGAAAAAGAAAAAGAAGATGATGAAAGACGAAAACGAAGAGAAGAGCGAAATAAAAATAGAGACCCGTAAGTTATATGATTGTCTATAGGGTACAATTGGTATGAATTCTAATTGATCTTTTGTTTAGTGGTTACACTATGATGGATTTACCGGCTGGCTTTACACCCAATACAGATGAAAGACGCAAAACAGGATTTACAGGATTTGGTGGACGTAAAGATAGTGATAGCGAAGAAGATGAACCAAAGCCCATGAGTAGAATCCCTGGTGCCGCAATTGCTCCTCCACCGTCATTGCAGGAATCATTTGTAACATCACCCGGACCTCAGCAGACTTCTGGAATTGGTATGGGCATGGGTGTTGCTGCTAAAATAATGGCCAAATATGGTTTTAAGGTAATAAAATCTCAGCACTAAATTCTTATTACACTTAAATTGATATTTTTTTGTCATTCCCCCTTGTGAGTTAAAAATTATATGTAGACCATTGACATAATATACTTTTATTTAAACCTTAAGGATGATTAACTAAAAACAATTTAAGGTGTATGGTAAGTTGTTTTTGATAATTTTTGCATAATAAAAATAAGTTGAGTGCACAATTTGATTGTGCTCTGATATACCTTGTTATTGACTGATGTGTAACATTATTTTTTATTGAGTAATTCACTTGTTCCTGTGCACCATAGCACGAGCTGCCACCAAAATTGATTGATAATAAATGTATATACAGGGTGTCTTGTGATGATACCCATTAGCCCTACCCACTAATCACCCACAAAAAACTAGTTTTTACCTATAAACTGAAAAAATGATTATAATTAATGAAATTAGTAAAAATAAAATGTAAGGTCAACATTTTCAGAAAAATAAATGATAAAATGGACATTTTTAATTGTTACCAAAAAATATATGTAGTTATTGTCTCTGTGAGTATAATAAAAAAAACCAGATTTATGATATAGTTATTATCTCATTAGATATTGCAATGGGTAAGTACTCACGAGACACACTGTACATAATACAAAGTATGTTACCTATACATTATTGGAAATAATTTTTGGTTATTTTCCAGGAGGGGCAAGGATTGGGGAAGAAAGAACAAGGTATTTCAGTGGCTTTACAAGTAGAAAAAACAAGTAAAAGAGGTGGTAGGATCATTCATGAGAAACCAGGTGGTAATGTTTCACCACCACCCATAACTTCTATGGCTGGTATGATACAAGATGATTTTGTAGCACCTGCTCCGCCACCTCCCAAACCTTTACAAAGTATCACAGAAATAATGAAAGAACAATCAAAGGTAATACTATGCAATAGTTTTTATTTTTGCTATTTTTCAATTAGACTTGTACAAATCTGGCACTAATTTATTAATAATAGGTAGTATTATTACGAAATATGGTTGGACCTGGTGAGGTCGATCAAGATCTCGAACCTGAAGTAAAAGATGAATGCAACACTAAATATGGGGATGTCAACAAAGTAGTTATATACGAAGTTCCAAATGTTGATCATGAAGAAGCTGTACGGATATTTGTGGAATTTAAACGTATAGAATCAGCTATCAAAGGTAACATCATTGTAAATATTGTATATATATATTTAATTATTCAACTTGTTTTTTTTTTTATTACAGCTGTTGTTGACCTAAACGGTAGATTTTTTGGTGGTAGGCAAGTAAAGGCTGGATTTTATAGTGCAGAAAAATTAAATAGTTATCAGCTCCTTGATTAAAACAAACTATTTAATAATTTAAAAAAAATAATTGCATTGTATAATTTTAATATTTTTGGACAAATGTTATCAATAATTTTGTGTATAAAATAGCTTAGGATTTTTATATTAATATACCTAATATTTATGTCTTGGATCAACCCTTATTCCAAGACACCCTTGCTCCCAATTTATTATGATGATAAAGCTATAATCTCTATTCATGGTAGTTTACATTGGTAGTTCCATTACAGCTAAGGCCTATGACCATTTTGCCATCTCACTTGAATCTTATTTCTGTATGGTACTCTCAATGGAGAATAAAATTAAACCGCAACAAATCTATACACACAACCTTGCCTTTACAACACAGTCTTTGCCCGACTTCATATATGTACCTTCATCCAATGCTGTTAAATATTTATGCTTCACAGATAAGAGATTTAAATGGAACCAACACATTAGGTCAAAAAGATTTAACTCTAAACTCGTATTTTCATATGCTTAAAACTATATTATAAATAAACAAATTTCAAAGTTCAAAAATCAAACTTTTAACTATATGTCTCTACCAAAACCGATGTAGACTTAAAGTCTACAACTGTAGAGCTTAACTAAAAAACCAAACTTAGCAGAATAACACACTATACCAAATCACTAATGCTCCACCTTACATTTCAAATCTAATTTTGAACGACTTACGCATCAAAACAATTGAAGAAGAATCTACAGTATATTACAGGTGATTCTTCTTACGTCTAGTTAACCATTAAAACTCACTCATCAGGGACTTATATACCTTGAAAAAGGTAATCTTTAAAAATCTTTAAATAGGTGATCTTTTTCTTTAAGAACTACTTCCTAGTAGTGTTGCTATTGTCCATTGGGTGATTTCTTAATCAATTAATTTATGTACAAAAAAAACTACTCTAATCACATGTGCTTACTGTGCCATTTTCTACAGGTTGTATATTTCTCTTATAAAAAAAATATACATCTAATAATTTTATCCTAAAATCCAAACAGAGGCAGTGGAAAATCCTCGATTTTCCAAACAACAATTTTCTGTTAATTTGTATTCTTTAAGTTTTTTTAAACGCTTTTGCAAATGATCTTCAGGCTTAAAACAATGTCTACCCGGATCACCAATCAGTATAGTCTTCCCTTTGTTACACAGCAAATCCAGCCATTTCCACAGTACATCAGCCATATCTTTTGAATAAAACATATCTCCAACTATGATGACTTCCCATTGTGAACAATCATTCAACAAAATATTCTTAGACAGTACATCAATGTTGATGTTGTTTAACTGAGCATTCAGTTTTGCTGCTACACATGCAACTGTTTAAGACAAAAAATTAATTTTATGAGGAAAAATAAAATAAAAATGACTGTACCAGGATCTATGTCATTAGCCGTAACTTGACTGGCACCCGCTATAGCTGATGCAAGACTGCATGCAGCACTACCACTACCGATATCCAAAACCGTTTTGTTGTTCACATACTTGCTGTTATCTAGTATAAACCTAAAACAAAAAATAGAAATATTGGGTAAAGCAAATTGCATATGATTATAATACCTCATAATTTGTTTTACCTGGAAATAGCTTGACCACCAGGCCAATAAAATGCCCAGAATGGATCATTAAACTCACATTCATTGGCAGGTGAATGCCACAATTTACATTGTTCAGTAATTAAATGCAATTTTATTTCTGGAGTCAAATGGTTTGTACATACAACAGTCGCATTTTTTATTTGTTTAGCATAATATTGCTCACTATGAGTACAATAATTTTTGGAAATCGTTTTCAAGGAGTCTATGATAGATCGATAACCAACATTCATATTTAAAAAAAATATATTAAGTTCAAAGATGACTTATTTATCATGATTTACCTATAAACCATGATCATCATTCCTATATTAGGTATTTACTATTTAGGTAATAACTAATAACCACGACTAAAGACGTCTCTGATGTGGTGAACTGGTGAAGCTAATAACTAATGGCACAAATGCGCGAATGCACGATGCGTGCTCTGTTCACGATTAGCTTGCATTCGTGCAACTCGTTCGCGCATCTCCCACCATGTGGCTAGAACCTCTAGCGCTTGAAATACTGGCGGCCGGTGGGTGGAGAGCCTAGATACTAAATTTATTATCTAGGCACTTTAGTGGTGGGAATGCGCAAGAATTGTTCTCTAGATTTGGTGTTTGACCGCCCAGTAAAGTTATGTTCTAATAATTATTGTGAACTGACTGAACTGAGTATAGAGTTGATAAGGTGACACCGCTCCCATTTCCCTTAATGGTACGAAATAGACGCAAAAAATCACAGCGGTTGGGAAGTTCAGAATTTATCACCAGAGCACGCCACCAATCGGACGAAGGCCGACTGTTATTCTATGCTTTTAAACTAGTCGTAATGGAGATATACCTTTAAATTGTATTTACCAATGTGTATACATTTTTGTTCAAATGTCAATAATCTGTATGCCAGCATAGGTACTATATTTTATGTTTTATTGTGTAGATTATTAAAATAAACCAATGTTTCGGAACCAATTGGTAATTATTGTGTAAAAATCGTTATAATATTACAAGGACATGGTACGTAGTCTACATATCGTACAAATGTATTTATTTGAATAAATGTGCTACCTAAAAACCCATGCACACCCAAATACTCAAATAAAAAATCATAATAATTGCAAATGCATCAGCTAAAAATATTGTTACATTTTATTTACAATCTATAATGTATTTTGTATATGATGCAGAGGACGCCACTAGAAAAAAAAAATAAAAAAATTTGCAAAGCAATCTAAACTAATATAATAACTGTAACATAATATAGTTGTTAAATTTTAAATTATAATATAATACAACTTCCTTAATCAAAACTATTTTAAATTGTACCTAACTGAACGCAATAATCACTAAAAATGATTCTTAGTTGGTTACTATTTTTCATTTTTAAGAAATAGTAACAAAAACATCAAAAATATGTGGACATTTTTAATATTTTACATTGAACACAATATAAAATCCGGCCTTCAGGCGAATGGTGGCGCAACCTGCACGAGACATTTGTACCACGATTTAAGTTATATGCAGGTTATTCAATGCAGTATAGAAATAATTGTTCTCTAGAGCAGAGAAATTCAAACTTTTTCATCCCACGGCTCCTTTAAGTTTTCACAAAATGTTCACGGCTCCCAAATTATAAATGACAAAAAAATCAATGTTTATATGAATGTAATTTATATTTTATCATTTATACTAATTGTTTATTTACCATATTACATACATAAAAACAATTATAAATAAGTAGTTATTGTGTAGAAAAAATTGTAATTAAATATTTTATGTTAAGTCCTAGTAAATATAAATCAGTAATACTCAATACTACATTTTTAGGGAGATGGATAAATAAGCTTATGCTTCATAATATGTTCAAATCGTGGCTCAAGTTTGGAAATAGCTATTCTCGTCTCCTTCTCAGCGTTCACTTTTGATCAATTTTGTTTTAATTGCAGTTAACGCAGAAAACGCGGTCTGACACTGGTGCGAAGTTGCAAAAGGTGTTACATCTTTCAAAGCCGGTGTGCCTCAAAGATAATAGTAAACGTTTTTCGTAAAAATATTTATTGGTTTTCAATTATAGGACGCGGCTCACTTCAATAACTCACGCTACGCCCCTGGGACCCGCGAAGCACAGTTTGAATACCTCTGCTCTAGATTGATGCTCGCAAATCATCCCCAAAAATCAGCTGTTCACCATGGGAAGAAGTCACAGATGTATAAGCACATTTACATTGTGTATATATCTGTGGAAGAAGTACAGCTAGCGCTCTCAGTGTACATAATTGTATATAGGTATATCGAAATAAAAAAAATGTATCCATCACGAAAGCACAGATTCAATATTTTTTATTTTATCTGTGACGAAAAAATGCATTGTTTAACTACATTAATTTCCGCTTGGGCGCTAATTCGTAGGCCGTAATCGAGGGTAAACATTGGGTATCGAAAATAATGCTACGTTGAGTAACTTGTACATCTAAAATCGTGGACCTAAACCTAACCTAACCTTCGTGGCTACGACTTACTACCAATGACCATGACTGTTTCATTAATCTGTGTTGACTACCACGGTCTACCTTAAACCGTGGCTACCACATATTAAGAAAACACAACCTTTACTAAGGTAAAGAAAGAAGATCAACCCAACAAACTCATACAAATAGTTGTGGTATGGCTACGTTTTTATAGGCGTTTGTAATGTAAGTATGTCGTTTACCTTTTGTTTAGTATTTGTTTATCGATATAATTACAATTTTCAATTATTAGTCTTATAGGCTGCTATAGTGGAGTAGTTTGAGCCGCTCGAGGTTTTTTTATTGGTGATGTCTTAGTCTTATGTATATAAAATGCAAATACCACTCACTCACTCACTTATTCATTGCTACAACTCAAAAACTACTAAACGTACAAACTTGAAATAATTCGGAAAAGTGGTTTCTCCAATGCTCCATTAAGAGATATATCAAGTGTTAAACCAATCCGCGAATTGCAGTTGCCCATTCAAATCGAATTATTTCACAAAGTCAGTTATACTGACTCCGATTTGTCCATGATTTGAGCAATAACACTTGTAGACATTCAAACCTAGATACATCTAAATAGCGTATAAACTATAAAGGATTTGCTACAAAAAACTGCACACTTTCGAAGCCGTGATTTTCAGTATATTTCTGTATAGATAATAAAATAATATGGTATTTAAATAGCCCCCTCCCCTCGATTGAGCTCCAGCTACGCTATTGGGCTGCGGTTACTCATTTGAGTGGTGGCCGGCAACATAAAATATTAAAATATAGAATATAATTTCATTCTATATACCTATATCAGTACGAATCATGCATAACACAATCATTTAATAAATGTCTACCTAGCCACCTAATAAGGGTCATGGTTAATACCTACGCGGTTAAAAAATCTTGTAAGTTCGTGATTAACTTTTAACAATTTTGTTGAATGTGTGATAATTGTTCAAACTGAAAATGTCTTTATGTGTCCATCGACATTACGGTATTCCACAACGAACTTTTATTGCCGTATATATAGACTAAAGTCCTACTAAACTGTTGCAAAGAACATTACGGGAGTAACTCACCCACTTGATAGTATTTTGTACCCTAAAGTAATTAAACAAAACGTTTCGATATGTTCAACTATATCACATAGCCACAAATAAAGGAGAGAGGCTTACGTAACGCTGGTGGAAAAAAACATTTGCTGTCCGATAGAAAAAATAGTATATTATACGGCAAGGGCGGGAGGTCAGAAATTTCAGTATGTTTCTGTCAGACGTTTGTGGCACTAGCCACAGGTGAGAGATGCAATTCGCTCAATACTGAAATTGGTATCCCACATACGAGCCACACATACGATTTTGTGTCATGTCTCTGTTTCATAATATTATAGTCATATAGAACATCTATATATAGCTAATATCCAGCATACATATTTTAATCTGATTTGGACTGCAACACGCTTGTTCGCTTCGTAGTGTATACTTCCACTTTTTCACTCAATAGATTCTGACATTCTCCTTTTACCACCCCCCTATCAGTAGGACGGAAAAAATTATACTATTATTACAAATAATGAATGTTTCAATAATCGGCATCAAAAATAAACTTGCAATGCCAGTGTAACACAAAAAATAGTTTTCTATGTAGTCCCTTAAAATTTGATCCAAACGTTTCAATTAAATATAGAGTACCTAACAATGGGGTACTGACGGGAGGCGAGGGTGTCATATCCCTTTTTGGCTTATTTTTGTCATATAAAAACACAATATATTATAATGTAATGAATGTATATATAACGTGGTCTGAGAATAGTCAAAAATTCAAACCCTCCTCTCAAAAAAACTGAGCACACCACTGTTACCTAACTGTTTAGGAGTTGTAAAATTTTGTAAGTTCATATTTTCCGTTGTACAATGTATGAATATTTTATGTATGAATAATTTTTAATTTTTAATTCCATCGGTTTTAGAAGATATACAGATAAGTTATGCTGTACAAAAAAGTGTCGACCGGTTTGTTACCTACCATCAATAGTGAGGGGTACCTTGCCATCATATTTAAACTAGGTTTAATAAAAAAAAAACAGTTATTTACATTTTTCACAAACGTTTAAAATTTGAAACATAAGTGATTTTTTAGTTAAATGAGAATTTTATTTTTAGATTGCGCCTTATCTTTTATGTAGTTTTTTATTATTGGGTATAAATATTGATATTTTTTAAGAGGTGTTGGTTAGGTATCATTAGTTATTTTACTCCAAATCATCAATATAATAATATCATATAACTATAATATAAGTATATTACTATGTTAGGTACCTATAACAGTATAACTTATATTACTAGTTTGCTCTATTAAATGAATTTCGTATTGTGAGTCACTTAATATTATAAGAAACCTATCTCTCATATCTGTACAATTGTAGTGATTTGAGCTCCACCCAGAATCGTGTGATGAGATTAAAGAGTTTAGACGGTTTTATAATTTTTTAAAGTTGGCTGTGTTACTAAAATAATTATATTATAAGATATTAAAATGTAATTTTTATTTGAACATACATATATAAATATTTAATTTTGATTGATTTTTTAATGAAATTTGCAAGGTAATAATTATTTTTTATTACCATTTACCATGGTTAGTATTGGTTACTGCTGAACAGTTACATCCTGGTGAGACATAACATGATAATATATTAATACATAATTGGTATGATATTAATTTGGCTAAATAATTTACAACATTGCATAGTGGTTGTATGTTGTATGATACATTTTCTCATCAGTCTAGAAATTAATGTTTTGGCATTAAATTATGACTAGGTCTGGGATAGTGGGATTTATATGTAATAAAAAACCAAAAATATTCAATAAAAGAAATTCGAAAATATGTAAACGTGTTAAATTAAAATACAATTTTAAATAATTTAGTCGATTCGAAGTAAAATAATGACAAACCATGTAGTGTTTTAAATTTTCAAAATTAAAACACGGTGATTTGGTTTTTACACTTACCCTCAC